CATTTCACACTGTTATAAGGTACTGAGGTATTTATTTATAATAGTTATATTCGATCTACTAAAYTCAAAATATACTAATAACTATTAATTAATAATAATGATATAAATGTTATATATTTTAACTACAGATATCTTTAGAAATATATAATAATTTTATGCTGATTCGTATCCATTTTTTTCGCTCGGAATCGTTTTTGTTCGTATGCGATATTAATGATATTATTAGTATTAGTAATAGTATTCAGATTCAAAACATCGATTGCAATGACTTATACAGTAAAAACACTAGGTACTCTGTATAATAATTAATTAACTTGAAAGTTGAAAGTTATACAGCAGAACAGAGTGACTCGGTTTTTTATTTTATCTATCCATTAAAAATACATAACATAATAATTTGTTWTTACAGTTATTACTAGTTTAATTTATCAAAAACTTTTTAAAAAGTTCGTTCACGATTACTGTTTGTTTAAATTATTGTGTATTTATACCTGTTCTAGTTGCATTATATATACCTACGCTATTATACGATAATGGGTCAAAATAAATACAAAATAATGTATTTAAATAATAATATTAAATAATACGATTGTCTTAGAAATAGAATTGAAACCATTTTAATGTAGAAAACTCGTGTTCGTGCAAAAATAAACAAAATGCTCTCAATTGTTCAACACTCACCRACATCAACGTATAACATTGACACACTGTAACGCTAATCCGCTGTCAACTATCTGCGTCCCACTCGTGTATTTTCGTCAAATCTGGTACTTATAATTATAATAAATTTGGTGCTCGACATTTAAATCGCAGATAACTACCAAGTAATATCGTTTTTTTTTAAGTATGAAAATTTATAATTTATAATTTAATATGTAAACATAACCCATGAATTTTAAACAACAAATCGAACKCAAAATTTAATTACAATGTTCTCAAGGCGGAAATTTCTAGAGTGCTCTTCCATTAATGGATTTAGGCGTATTGCCAACATTTCACGTAAGTCGGTCGTAATATTTCCACAAGGTATTTTGATTTAATTTATTTTACCTAAACGCAAGATAATACACTGCCAAAGATGATAATTAATGAAAATAGCTATATTAAAAAAATTATCAAATAAAATGGCAAATATTTATATTGTTATTCCTAACGAGAAATTTGATCAAACACTGCAGCAGGTTTGCAATTTATACCTTGTCGTATATCAACAGTTATAAAATATGTAAAAAAAAAAAATACTTGCATARTATATAAATATAAAAAACCCTAGTTTAAATTTATTTGAGTAGATACTAACATATCATTTTCAAATTAATTAATTAGATTTGGTGAACTAAAAACTAATGGGAATTTATATTATTATTATTATTACATGGACTATAATTTTAATAAGCGTCTTGTAATCTAAGATTGTATCATATAACTATCATATACCTGCACATTATTATCTTGTTCGTTCTAAACAAATTGTATTACTTTATTTACCTATCATTCATTATGTACCGGATAATGAGGACTGGTTACAATGTGTATATGAATAAATACGAAAGTGCATGCAAAAAAGGTCAGACATCAAGTGATGTCAATAAATCAGTTCATGGTCTATTGATTCACGTGATCTGAGGATTTCTGTTGTAAAACCACTTTCCACAAGACCCAGTAAATTTGATTAAAGGGTTTGATATAATACCAACTACAGGATACTAAATCACAATGATTAATCAACGGATCAATTATATAAACCTATAAGAGAATGCGTTATACGTTATAGTGAATCTATCTTGTAAACTACCTCTATACGTATACCTATGGTAATTCACCCAACGGTAAAGTGTATTTTTAAGACCGTATCATATCTATTGTAGAATAAATTATTTTTATGACCGTTATAATTTGAAACATATTCGTATATTATTAAATAGTTAGTACCATGCTATGTGTTAGATTGCATAAAGAAATATCCGGTTTGAAATAAAACACAAAAGTATCTTCATAATAAAATGTATACAAGTTTATTAATATATTACTTAACGTCGTGTATCTCATTCTATTGAGGAAAAATGACCCTAAGATATAAATATTTAATTTATTGTTTTAATATTGTTAAATTAATGTTATATTTATTAGTTATAAACAATATAATTTCAATAATTTCTACCATTGAGTTATATAAGTAAATTGAATAATAAACATTACTCATATATTTTGACATATTGACGAGTATTTTTCATCACTGATTTATAAATTTAAAATACCTCTTTGTTAATGAGGAAAAAAACTACCTTCATTGTTTAAATTAAAACATTTCCTATATTTTTATCTATATAATAAGTATATTTAAATGCTTAACTCYAATTATTTATTTTATATATAAAATCTTTTTTAATTTCTACAATAATTTGTATAGTATGATTGAATTTGTATTTATTTTAAAAGTTTYAGTTTATTTTTAATCATCATTGGAAAAAAAACTTAACTTGTTTGGTATACCATTTTACTAGATAAAATTTATCTATAGTCGCTCTTAACATCTCGACAAAATGGGATAATTCTTATAAGTAATTAGAAAATCAAATTTACAAATTATCCATGTAAATACCGTTTATAATCATTTATTTTATTTTAATGAAGATATTGTGTTTTTTTGGTGTTGGAAATAAATAACAATCTATATATTTATTATAAGATATAACTCATTTGATCTTTTACATTCACTTGTTGATTAGAACATTAAAACAAAAATATTATAATTACTAAAATTGATTTAATTATAAAGACATCATTTTATATGTCAAATACCAATCAGCAAATCTATTTTGTCGATATCTTTTGTATATTTAATCAAAATTGCATAAAATAATAGATTTGCTTTGTGTTTCAGTGTGCGGGGTTGATGAATTCCAATGTGACGGTCTTACATGTATCCCAAACTCAAAAAAATGCAATGGTCTCAATGATTGCTTGGATCGAACCGACGAGCTAAGCTGTCCACCAACTAACAGTAAGATTATTTTTTATTTCATCTATTTAATACTTGTTTTTCAGTTATTAGTTTTACATAATATCAGGTATGAAGTTTTGGATAAAAAACATAATAATATTCGATGCGCTGTATTATCAGCAACAGATGATTATTATATTTTATTCTAACGATTTTCAAGTCAATCTAATTTTGCATATAAAGACAAGTTGATAAATGAGTAGTTGACCAATTGGTTAACGAATAATTTTTTATTAACGTTTAGATGTTCAAAAACATTCGATTATGTTTTTTTACAATGTGCAAGATATAAAATAACGCGGAACTAAAAAACATCGTTAGATACATAATACATAATATTATTATACTTAGTAGGTATATTTATATTATAAATGTGTGTGTGTAAAATGAATATTATTTAAATAATAGTTAGAATGTATTTAAATATCCTACACCAGTTTAACAACAGGGTTTGCTGCACCCAGTACATTTTAAATATTTATAAGTTTATAAAGCTACATAATGTTACAAGGTTGTTGAATTATCTATAAAATGTAAGAGTATAGACCAAACAATGTTTTATGGAATTGGAAGTACCCAATCGAAATATTGTCAAGTATTTGTCGTTAGATTAAGTTTATATTCCATTTAATCACTTAGTATTACATCCCCAAACTATATGTCTATATGATCATATGTATAAACAACTTAGTCATAATTACAAATTACAATTTAACTGAAGAATATGATTGCCGATTGGTTGTATTAAGATTAAAGCATAATCCTCTATCGTATAGGTACACCTATACTATTTGAATTCGATTTTTAAACATCGGTACCTGTGTTTACGAGGTTATTTGTATGGTAAATTTTAATTGTATACCACTACAAGAAATTTATGCAAATATTTATTAGCTTATATTCGAGTAACATTACTCCAACTCTTCAAAACGATACACTAATTCACACAACTGAGAACACTCTATTTGAATTACATTAARAGTTATAACCAAGAGAATGCGGCCATTAAATCAGAACTTAAAAATATTTATTAATTTATACAATGTTATCTGAATGATTTTTTAATTACGAATTTTAATCCAAGTAACTATACTGTTGTATGTTATTTTCAAACATTTTATACAACACCGTWATATCTATACATTGCCAGTGGTGGCTTGAACTTTTTTTCCCTCGAATCACGTTTAATATTTTTACACCACCCAACCTAAAATATAGTTATTAGTTATTAGTTATTACTGTACATTATCTGCTGAGTATACATTACGGCTATATATTATATTTATTATTTATAATTTAATATTTAAATTGCCAACCTGCAAAAATGGTTCAGTCTACCTTTTTCAACCATAAGACTCACCCACCCACCCACCAATTAATATTTTTGTGAATCACATGATTCAAATATACTCCCTTCGAGCCGCCACTGTTCACTGATACTTAAATATTCAAAATGTTCAATGACGTTTCTCTGAATCTCAACGACCTCATCTATTAATTTTATGAATCCAATCTAAATTAGTATAAATTCACATTATTACCCACTACATGAATCACTTTATAAGATGAAGTAAATTTAAAAAAAAACGAAAATAAATTATGAAAATAGCTCCGTCGTTCTCTTCAGAATTATTTAAAAAACAGCTGGTGAGATTGATCGCGTCCACTGTGTGTAATTACCATTATTATTTCATAGATCTTCTTTCTTGTGCTACAGCGCTATAATAATAGACTATTTACTTTTTATTTGGCCGATGGTGCCAGCCGGTTCTTTCCTTGTAGACAGGTAGCCACCGGCGGAAAATATTATATACGTATAATAATACCCGTATGGTATCGTATAGGTGCATGTCTTACACACCACACACTCACACGCGTGCAGACTCGGATACGAGTACACATTGATTATACATGTATAATTTAAGTAGGTTTATGCCATGTTCATTTTAATAGCAACTCCAAAGTTATTATTTAATTTCGTGATGTCATGAACGCCAACGTTTTCCGCCCGCAACCAATGTTTTCTTATCTAATAGACGTTCACAGTTTACGCATATACCTGTCTACAAAAAGAGAGAGACACACGCACGCACGTTATGGTTCACAAAAATACGTGTTATTAAATTATTAGCACATTTACTCAAAGAATGAGTCGATGTTATATTATTATCGTAGGCGTTCATTGTATGTGTACACGATAGGTACATTGCAGTGTTCACTCATACTATAATATAAATAATAACCATTTATATGCAGTAATGAATGGCCAATCAATGAAACGGCATTGTAGGTAGGCTGGTAGGCACCTACAAAGAGCCGTGTGATGGTTAATTTCGTAAATATAGTTTTATTTAAAATTTAACTTGACATGGAAAATTAATGAAAATTTTATTCCATAGTTTTATATGAGGTAATCTTTTATTTCGTAATCATTACGTTAAAGCTGCAGATTTTTTTGTAACACAAAAATCGAAAAATATTTATAGCTGACCGGTATAAAGCAATACTAGACGTGATTGGAAATTACCTATGTATATTTAAAGTTAAACACAAAAATGTGTTCAATCTTAAAATTATACCCTGTCATATTCGAGTTACAAGTAGGTAATAATGTCAATTAAGTACTCATAAGTCTTAAGTTATGTTATGACCTATATACGCGTATACATGTATTTACTTTTTTAAATCAATATTTATACATTTAAATATTCAATTAAATATTACATTTAAGTATAGTACTTTATTTATTCAATAAATTCATAATATGTTTTATCCATAATCACAATATACCATACTTAACACAGTTCAATAAAAGAATAAATTGATTTTAAAGGTTTTTCATATCATAAACATAATTTCTGATTTAGTTGGTATATTATATTATTACTTAAAATATCGCCTGTATTTCAAAGACTTTTTCAGAATACTTCACGACACGTAAACCCAAATCATAATTATGTACAACATATATTATGTAGTATATATATATATACGTATACGCAATACATACTTAAACGTATTTCATATGGATAATTGGATGTAAAAAAAATTATCATGAATAAACTGTGACTAAAAAATAGTTTTAAAAAAAGTGCTGGGTGTACAACACCTCTCGAAATAAATGAGTAAAATAATTTTTAATTTTAAACACGTAAATTCGTACGGACTTTCCATTGACTACAAATACCTACTCTCTGTACGCATATGAGAACAAGATTCTCAGACTAGGTTTATTATTTGTCAATGAACAATTGTTAGTTGTCCTTGCAAGTCCAATGCTCCTAGTTTTTAGTATACAGCCGAATTTCAATATATTGGTGGGACTACATATATTATATATTATATTTTATACCTAATACCTATGTATATATATGTAAATACGACGCTTATTTGAATAAATTGTTTAGAATTATTTTCCATGTTCAAAATAAACAGAGAGTAACAAACAATGCATGTGCAATTGAAAGAACAATGTTGTATAACTAATATAATTTATTTGCGCCGATATTCAAACTACCTAAAAATATATTTTTATTTTGCATTGCAAATTCCTCAAATATACACTCATAAATGCTAATGTAAAAATCGCAAATTTTTATGTCGCGGTTAGATGGCCAGATTTCTTTTCGTTTTTGACAACTGGCAAGCAATCGTTTCATGAAATATTTCAGATTTTGTAAAAAAAACAAAACATTTTGGCAAGCGTATAGTGACTTAATGAATTTTATTATTTTATTTTGAGAAATATATAATATAAATGGGAAAATTACACATGTTTATAATATTAGAAATTATATAGTATTAACATAATACTATATACTATATTATCAATCGTGTTCAAGTGTATATTGTAACATAGATAAATCAAGTAGAATCAGTGATACATTTTCAAATTAAACTTAACTATATAGAGACATCCAAACATAGATAACTGTACTGTCTAATGTACCCACATTAACAAATTATTTTCAATTTTTATCCATAGACATAACTTTGATAAATGTGTAACAYAATACTATAAAATATGTAATACGATTAGGTAGGTATATATTTAATATATCATTAGTCAGAAAATATAATTTGAACATGATGATTTTAATGTATTATATGTAGGTACCTACTTATATATCATACAAAATATTTCTAACACTAGCAAAAACCAATTCCTAATTTACATTATTGTATTTAAATTCTGAACATTAATTTTAATCTAACAATTTACATTGATTGCAACTTAATAAATGCAAACTTATCAACGAGAGTTCTTAATTATTCGTAAAATGTTAATAAATAACAATTAAACATCCTATAAAATAATACGTGACAATGGACAAAAGTTTGATCGTAGATGAGTTTCTTTTTATTGAAAATATAAATTTCTATTTAATTGGCCTAAATTACCTCGTATATAGTATGCCAGATGATAGATTGTTCTCATTACCAATTTTAAAATGATAGTTTTAAGTAACGTTGTTCTTTGATATAATTTGTAAGCCAATATAATACATGATGTGAATTTTAATGATTTATGTCAACGAATTAAATATCTATTATTCGAAATTTTTTTTTTAAGAGGAACCAGCGGCAACAAAAGCCATTGGGTGTGTTCGAAAATTATAAACGTTCGTAATACATTCATCATAACTCATTAAAAATAAAAATCATAAAATATATTATTTATTTTAACACGTAAAATATCTAAGAAGAAAACCCTAATAATAGAATAAATATGTATAGCAAATACACTGATTGCTTGTAATAAAATAAACCATGACATCATCATGAACGTTTTACACTTTAGATATTATTATTAATRTTCGAAAAAATCCTTGAAAATGCGTTACAAAATAAAAAAAACATAAAACATTCATTGAAATTAAACTGTCTCATAAAAAAAATATAAACTTTAGATTCTTAGCCGACTTATCGCTGATGATTGTTTGTTTCATTCTGAAAATACATTCTTTTTTTGTAGACCAAATGATCTAAACTTACTAAGT